CTTGAAACTCATCCACCAGCTCATCAGTCTGAATGAACTAATCATCGATCATGAGAAGAAATGAAAATATATTCTACCTGCACTTATTAATGTGTTGGATAAATTACTTTCCAGATCACTGCACACAAACGAGAAAGTCTAGGATTGAAATTGATGAGTGGATGAGATGAAATCGTGCAGAAGATGACTACTGAGTAGCAGTTACCTTGTCCAACGCATCTGCAAAATAACCACTGACTCACTCTGAATGATCGCAGCATCGCCATTTCACAAGGTAGTTGTTCTACACCTAACCCACCTTACCTAGTTTTCTGCCTACTAACCGATCGACAACGAGAATTCGACACTGAGAATCGCTTAGGTAATGTGAAATCAACTGATTGAAGTGTATAAAACAATGGATCATGATATTCGGCACTGCAAGCAGGCCTCAACAACTGTTGTATCTAGATACTGGGAGATGATGTCAACCATGCCACTTTGTGTGCTCGAAAAAACTAATTAATGAATGTCACCTACTTAACTGATACCCATGAATGTAAATCGAGTTTCAGTCCACATGATATTCGATTCCACTTTGTGAAACAAAAATGCACTCAAGACGACCTGTGTGTGTTTCTCTCAGTAGAACAGTGTTGACTGTATGTGTTTATATTCAACGAGTGTGCGTTAGTTGCACAAAGGTCAAACACATATTACTGTTCAATCCAGCAATCAACTAGTCTGCACTTAAGGTGATGAAATTGGTGATTTCAAAATGTGTTTATGTACTCCTGCACTCTTTGTGTTCACTTTTCAGGCTTCGAGATGGTAGTCAGTTTTTATAACACAATTACCTTATCAACTGTCTACGGTAGTACTGTACAATACACTGTTCAATAGTAACAATGTCGCAAGCAGCCAGGGAGGCGAACTTCCGGGCTTGACGGTCACAATTTAGTTTGTGTATATTTTAGCATGATTTGTTAGATTTACGAAGAACACTGAGTATCCAGTGGATCTAACTAGCAATCAATAATCAGTGGAGGGATTTTTCACTGTCATGGACACTCCATTTGAACATTCTTGCTCGTACTGTTTTCATTGAGGGGTGCATGACGAGTATTTGAACTCATATCATTTGTCATTCACTCTAACGCTTTTGAATAGTTTATGTTTACTTGTTTCTTTTTGATTTTGCTACAGTCCAGTGTTTATAATCCTGTCAAGTTCACTACTCAAATTTATCTTGATGGACGCAAATCACGCTTCAGTTGAATAGACTGGCTGTGAAGACCACCCAAGGAACAACTGAATTAGGTAAGTAGACTTCACTAATTTTGAAAAAACTACCTTTCACATTTATGCAAATGACGCCAGCTGGTTAACTGAGTCGTTGTTTAGGCGAACTTTAAAATGTCTCTTTGAATGTACATGACATATTTCAACACACCATAAATTTTCGTTGGCAGCCTTTTATCTGTGTGAAGAAAGAATTAAGTTGAGAACTCATTGGTGTGTACTCCTAGCTGTCCTGCAGTCACTCATCAATCTGCCATGTTACAAGAGTTATTTGTAAACGTATTCAGTTTCCTCTGTATTCACGACGCAGATCTATTTTGTCACTTCCACGACTCAGCAGGATAAACATTCTATTTATTGAAGGCATTAAACTTTCAGAGTTTCACACTCCATCGTGAATGCGTCATGCAAAAGATTTGAAACCATATTTTCTGCAGTGCATTACCGCAGTTGACAGTTATCCAATGTACCTATTTTATTATATGGGGAACAAAGAGTGGCCTGCTTGAACTCTGGGTTACGGTTTACTATCATCGAGTATATTGCATCAAATTTCTTATTTCTATATTGTTTTAATCGTTTTATTATGTCAACCAATCGTATTGTATATTTTCGCGCGTTTTTAAAATCATTACAACCTATCGCTTCGCAAGTTGATAGAAAATTTAAGAAGAAGCACCACGGTGGATGGCAACGAGCTCTGAAGCGTATGACCATAGATCAAATGACTATTCCGGAAATAATTAGCACAAACTGCAGATCGTTGCGGAATAAAGTTGATTACCTTCAGTCACTCTTGTCCACAAATGTTTATCAAAACACGGGTGTAATAATGCTGCAGGAAACATGGCTTCATAACCTGTATGATGATGACCTAGTCTGCTTAGATGGTTTCAAATTATTTCAACAAGATCTAAGCTTTTAGAAGAAGAAATGTGGTGGTGGTGGTGTAGTAACATTTATTAGTACTAACTGGTCGTCCTCCAACTATGTATGCTTCTGTTCCCCATTAATCTCTCCTGGTCTTCTTAAAAAGAACAGAAATCACACATCAACTTTGTGACAGTTAAAAATCTCATTTCAATAATTCAACTTACAATCCAATTTTTTTTCGTTTTTAATATTCTTCACATAACTTAAATTTTTATAATAAAACAATTCGAAAGGCTACAAAGCAGTATGTACATACTTATATTTTGTTGTTATTGCAATATATATCACGCTGAGAATTCCAAATTGTACCACAAATTGTTTGGAATAAAGTGAATTATTATTATTACTAAAATCGCAACTAATCACTTGATGAACTGTTTCCTTTCTGTGTGTAAGCAAAGTCCCAGTGTTGGGAAGGATAACGGCTCATGTTCAGGATGTCTTCGGGATGTGCGAGATGTGTTATTTTATGGATGAGAACCGGATCCATCATATGTGTCGTCTCACCGAGAAGAATGTGTCGACTGTGTTAACTGAAGTGACCCTTATTGGTGACAGCTGACATGTGATTCCGGTCGAACAACGGACCGACAAGACAAGAGTTGTGTTTCGATCTTCACACTTCATTTTTGCATATCCATAGATGAATTCAGTGTACCCTATCTATTCATAACTCAGGTGTTGTTTCATAACACTCTAATGGGTGGTTAGTTATGATAATGCAGGTGCTGATCTATCGAGATCCGCTGACATTACCTGCGTCAATACAGTGAGCGATTATGATATCTCAGCAATAGACAACACCACTATCATGTCATATGGATTATTCGACAACGATTAATGCACTACATGAATTATTCTCTGGTGACTTACTCCAAGGATTCAGTCATCTACTTCAGTATCTTATGTGAAAAGGCAATCTAACATTTTACTGACAAGAAAATCATTCTGATTGCCACAGTTGGTTAACGCTTTTTCCACTTTACAGCTACAAACATTCAGCTCTATACTAAAATATCTAGTAACTGACACACATACAGGGATTAATAAAACAATTTTGAGCATGCTCCAATTCAGTCACTTTTTTGAATGATATTTCAATCATATTACGTAACGATAATGTATAAGTTAGCATTGGCATCAACTTTAAAATTGTTGAGAAAGTAAAATATCGGCTAATCTTAGAAGTGAAAATATTCAGTTTGAAAGAAGTCACCTACACACAAAGACCACAAATGGATGAGGGAAACATTAGAAGGTTAAACACTTATCTGAGGTTATACTGTGATACAAGTCATGAGATAGTACTAAACACGAGTTCAATGGGACAGTATCCTTTGGTTCTTTGCTTCACCATAGAATATAGGCAGTAGCTCTCACGAATACTAAGAGAAATATGATAGTCTTTGTGTGAATGTTCAGCTTCATCATTGCATTACACAGATCGGTTGTGCAGCACGACACCACAGATCCTTCTACGATTTCGTCACAGCTAGTCAGACAATATTTGTCGGTGGAATATTCATTTCTTTTGATCTAGGAAAAAGAAATGAACTATTAGCATTTGAATACAAATGATATTGCAGTTTATTTAGAGTGGACAGAGTTAAATCTACATCGACTTCTAAACAGTCGACTTTTCAGATAGTGTTTACATCTCGAAACATGGCCCCATTGTCATCTGCGATTATATTTTGCACAGTGATCGACAGAACTCCAAAATCGACATTGTCTTCAAAACTCACACTTGCTCACTGACAAGATCCTATTAACTAATAAGCAAAGTCCAGATTAGGCTACTAACATGTGCACATATTTATCAGCTTCAGGTGCCAAATAAATAACCAAACCTCCATTCGTTTCAAAATTCATTCATGAATGGTTTGTAGCCAAATCGTCCAATCGATTCCACGTCGGCGTATTACCTGCATTAGGCATTTGCATAGTCACACTATTGTCAGGATATTCAGATTCAGGGAACGCTGTTCTAGGCAAATTTCTTACTTGATCAGACAGCTGAAACGGTTGAGTATTCTACTCATCTGAATGTACCAGCATCGCAAATGCATTCTCGATACATTATTACAGTGTGGAGAGTATTTTTATGTGATCACCATAAATTCGGATGTGGAGGAGGTGATTCTAGTGGGGTGTGCACCCGATTGATGAACAGTGTGACTGTTGACATCCTCAACCAATTTTCTCATTCTCTGTAAATAATAGATGATCTGTTAGTCAACCTGTTGAATAGAAGGTCAACATGAGTTTGTTGACCGAAGACCTGAATTCGCCCGCATTGGACATTGCTTCTAAAGTATACTGTTCACTGTTTATTTCACCTTCATGAACTCAGTATTGACGATTACTGTCCTCTGAAAGTATGCAAGTAGGGGTGCCATCTTCTTCGAACCAACGCTGATGAAATTATGCAAACAAAACTGATCTACCTTCGTCATTGACTGTCTTCTTGAAGGTGATAATAGAAGGAGATTGGCAACTGCACTGTACCAAATCAGTGAATCGCATACACCACATAATGAATGCAACTTGTAGTAGGAAAGTTCACAGAGAACCTGTTGACCCTATTATGACGACGGTGGACAAAGTGGATATACATTTATTCCTTTTGAACACAGAACACGTTTTCTTGCATTGATACCCATGGCTTCGGCAATGGATAAGATGTGCAGTCGTGCGCCTTAAGGGAGATTGCATTGTTGTTGTTGCTCTTTGTCAAGAGTACAGTCCAATCACATCCAATAGATACCGGACATCAGATCACGCCTTTTATGTGATATATCGTGTCACATTTAACCTCCCTAAAGGTGGACAAATAGGCATCATATCCGTAGGTGTCTATGTAAGAGAACTGATCTATGTGTTCAGAAGAAATATGCGTATCTGTATTGTTTACTTTGGTCCACAATAAGTTCGACACGTTATTTATAAACTTTCCTACCACCAATTGCACATTTTAACCCCCAACCTCTTTCTTCTATATTATCACAACATTGGTAAACATTCATTTTCTTATGTTTATAGTTCTGTGTCCTTCTTTATTCGTACCACCACCAGTAGTCATTTTCAGCCATGACGTAACACTTCACATTTGTTACTTTTTATTTCGTTATAGCATTTTAAAGGTTTTCACCCCAATAGAAAATGATTCACCACTACATAATTATTATTTGATCACCAGTAAATAGACACACTCATGTACCAGTAAATGTAACATCATCGGTAGACTTTCTCTCCAAATTAAGTAGTTGCTCTAGCAGTAGTGATTTCATTGCACAACTAACAAACTAGATTAGTAACCATTCAACCAGACCATTAGATTTCATCTCAATTCACCTCTAACACTGACGGTTTCAATACAATAATACACAAATATGAATGTAGGCAAATCAGGTGATAACTTCCACCTACCCCACACGCTCCACAACCAGACTCAATTCTTCCAATGCTATTTGTGCAGTCTGAACAAATATGACACCTGATCGCATCCCCTACAAAAGAAATATTGAAAGCAAACATCAATGTTCACATTACAATATTATCTATCGAATCACTCCCACCACCACCACCTTGAACATAAAAACATCAGCTTCGATACATTCACCACTGTTACAGTCAAATTCTGATATAGGAACATGCAGTCGTTGTCACTGGTGCAAACATAGTGAACAGACTCAGCGTTCAGCTTTACACAGACTTCGACTCATTTGTGGCTCAAACATCCATTTACTGGATTGAGTGCTACCCTGAAACTAATTACCTCTCATGTAGGAGGCATATCATAGTTAGGCAGAATGTCAACCTAAGTTTGAGATCCATCACAAGTGGTGGAATCCCTGTTTCCCAACCGGATAATGTTTTCGAACACCGCACTTTCGAAAACAAACATGCATACCTCCACCCTTCATGGTGGTCACGTCTGTGACTTCAGAACCGTTCCATGCAGGTTCCGATTACTGATAGAACACAGTAGTTTCCTCATGCTCGCAAATTCAGTTTGCAGATGTACACCAACAAGCATGAAGCTCCTCTACAGTGTTTACTACCGATTCGTTGTGACCATCCACTGCCACTGCATAAGTTTATTTCAATGTCAGCACTTTTTAAAATCTATCAGCTACTCATCAGTTGTCAGTCGGTTCATGCACCCTCTCTGATTCCACCAATCAATGACTGCAAACAGACTTTGTGCACGCATAATCTTGATTTCTCTCCGTGAGAATTTCACTAATTACTGACTCGAATCAATTCACATTCTACCCAGTGAGGTAGGATTTCGTTTGCTGGTGTGATTAATTGGAAGCTTGTGTCCACCACTTCTTCAGGGCTAGTTCAGTGTTTCCTGACATCATAAACAGAATGGCTATGCAGCAGTTCACGGCACCAATCATGTGGCTGAATTGATCAAGGATCTCTCCACCTTCACTGTGATGCAGTCCTCTCAAAATCACTAAAGACTCCTTTCAGTGATGCATGTCAATAAGACAACTTAGAGTTAAGTTGAAATATGCAATCGCAAAGCTTTTTAGATCTTGTTAAGGTGGAGTAACTTGTCAACATTGGTGTGAGGATGGGTGTATGAATGTGTACACTTGCGTAGGATGACATCGACAGTGACATGAAGTTCTTTGCATTTTCAGATACTAGAATAACCGCTGCTTTGATTTATTTGAATTTTAGCTGAGCAACGAAAGAATGATTCAGTAATGATAAGTGAAACAAGCAATAACAGTGAAAGAATGATCTCCTACAGGAACACATCTGTTGACATCATGAAAGTGTATCATCTTATTCATGTATGGAGTATGGCAGTGATTGATGCGAAGAACTACTGGCATGTTGAATAAAAGGAAAGTGTGCATGCCAACCTTGGGAGTAAAATACATAGTTTCAATTACACACTTATCATTCTAGTGGTATTTGATGACAGACACCTTTCGAAAAGCGATGAACAAACATTTGTCGAAGCGGGAAAGATCACTTCATTTCAGTATCAACTTGTCACTAGAGTTGTTCATTTATTTGGTTGTCATACATGATGCCACGTTCTTAAAAGTATCTTGCATTCTTGCATCGGTCTCACTAAGTTAACTTTTCAAATGGTTTCGGAACACAACCTTTTAATAGAAAGTGATGAGTCGATCTTATCAATCGCTTGTTTTGTGTTTGCATATAATAAAGTTTCAATTGTTTATGTTTCATTCAGAAACGCAGATGAAATGCCAAGTTATTACAATCAGGTTTACTACAAAATGATTCTTCTGACTACGTCACACTCACTTATTGTCCACCCCAATTCATTATCTCGCAATCTTGTATCGTTAGGTTTCGGTGTTGAAATAATTTGTGAGTAGTTTACACTATTGCATAGATTTTTATAACATACTGACAGTTTGAATGGCTTGTATATTGGGAATTGCACCGAGAATTTACTAAAGCAAGATCGGGAGACTTTATCGGCGGTTCCAAAGGTCTGTAATTTTTCAAATGAAGAAAAGAAAAAATTTATTGTCAAAAAACAATGTTTTGTTTTCTCCTAAGACATAGGCAATGAAATATCTATTTCTACAGTTTCGTAGTCACTTTTCTGAAACAGTTCAATGGAAATGAATGACACATTTTTACGTAATTTAATCGTGACATCAACAAAATTTGACATCTACTGTTACTTCTGTAAGTGAGCCTTGATAGAAGCATTTTTAGCTACTATAACAACAACAACTACTACTGTATTAGCGCATTTAACTTTTCCAAAGAAGGGTGAAAATAGGTTTTGAGAGGGACAAATCAGAGTAAATTATAACCATGTCTTATACTTCACAGTTAGTTTAATGCTGTGTGGAAATAAGTTTTGTAGTCATCACTTTTCATTAGAAAGTTCTTTCTTTTCGAAAATAGACCATTTAGATAGTGAAAAGTCTGTTCACTATTGGGAGATTTCCTTATTCTGGTCAAAACGTGTTGCTCAATCTCTGTGATAACTTCTTAGATGCCAATACTGACAAAACGTACTAAGAACGGCGTCATTCTCACTAGTCTAGACTAGACTATTATTCATAGAAATTCGAATGGATATGTGAAATTCAACCTGCTACATTGAGGTTAGTTGTAGCCATTGTACAAATAATACTCTTTTCTCCTTCGTTCACGGACATAATTATGTTTGTCTGCCATTAGTGACTTGTGAACATACAATATAAGAACGCCCACAATTTCGTAACATGTACATGCAATAGGCAAAGCCATATAATATTGTATTCTCAATGCCTATGTGAAGAAAAAATGTGTATACGGCACACATCTGCCTTCCTCATAATTACAGCCACCTAGGTTGATAATCTCAGCACTCATAATTAATTCGCCATAAATGAAATTATTTATGACATGGGTATGTGGCCCAATCTTTCTTTCACAACTCAACGAGACAATTAACTGTCAAAAAATTTCAAATCCAGGAACGATAAACTCTGTTTACAGTAACCTACATTCATCTCCTTACTACACTCGTCATATCACAACTAAATTTGATAGAAATATCGAATTTCATAGGGCTGAAGGTTATCAATTACAGGTGCATGAAAGTTAAACATCCATGATTACACACGACTCATCAACAATCACACTAAGCATCCCACTTCAAAAATCTCACTCAAAACTGGACGAGTGAAGCACATGCCTGCCCTATTTGATCACAGTAAACATAATTCACAGGCTCTTTATTTGCAGGTTGAAATCATGTGAAAGACCACTGAAATGTCAGACTTACTGAACACGCCAAGCAGTTGTTCTTCACCGGTGTCGCATCATTTATATCACGACAAGATTGACAATCATAACATTGGTATCGTAGACAGTTGTCTGTATAGATAATAGAAGAATTTATTGTGACTCAGTAATCAATCAACTGAATAGGATATTTCAAATTTGCCTTCATTATCGAGAAAGCTGTTAATTTCATGCATATAACCATAATTTTCTTGAATTATTCCATTTACTCAACAGACATGTCAGGTGAGTTATCTGACCAACACAACGTGTGTTAACTCACTCAATACTCTATTTTCCAAACAGATGATACCTGGAGACGGTGATGAGAGTAAGCAATCGGCTCCAGTAAAAGAACATGAACTTGTTTGTTGGTTTGTTGAATGACCAATATATAGTTTCAGGATGAAGAAGCCTTCAACTTCAGTTTCCACTTCTTATTGTCTATTCGTTTGGCATGGTCAGATTTCCCCTTCTCCTATCGTTCCACTATACAAAGAACTTCAACATGGACTGACTGCAACTAATCTTATAATGCTCTTCACCAAGTCGTCCAACGCTAACCAAATTATTTAGCTGATAATTAAATGTTGTCTATTTGTTTCTGTCTAACTGCAGAAGCTTACCTGAGTAAAATCAACCAGAGTGAATAAAGTTACTGAAGACACATCTGACCGATTGAGATATGAGTAGGACTAGATAAAAAGAGGATATTTCATGTTTTCAGTGAGAATTTCTTGGAATTATTAGTGAACAGTTCACCAACACTGCAACTGTACCATTGAAGAGAAGAATCGAGTAACATGGAATCATTCTAATGAACAGATATTCAGAGGTATTGGCAAAAATCTGATAGCCACTCCATATATGGAAGACAACTGGTTGTTCACATAGCAATTCATCAGACAATTAATTGTGTGCCAATGTGGGAATGTTCAAAAAATGTAACCTAGAACAATAAGAACTTCTTGATGTTGTTCGCGATTCTGATACTTCTCAGACTAAACTAATCTAGGCTGGTAATTTAAACCGATGTAGTAGTATCAAAATAAGGAGAACCTTGGTTGTGCTACGAGGTTCGAGTCTCAGTGTGGGAACAACAACACTCACTGGGGTGAAGGTATATCCAGCTGACAAGTCTCAATCAAGTAGGACGAAGCACGTATCCTGAATTCCTCTGCTAGCCACAACCAAGTAAATTGTAATAATAAATATTCAGGCAATTTCAAGGCATTCTCATGGGAGCCCATATGCCAAAAGAGGTCAAGCAATTCGATTCAGTACAACAACGAAGAATTACAGGCGTATCAGCAAACAGTAAGAAAGACAAAATATTCAAGTATTTCAAAGTTGGAAGTGGACCACTCATTTAAAGTTGTTCTGCGTGATAGCAGCGTATGTATGAACTGTCAGACATGCATTTATAAACAGCAATACAGACTGTGAAGAAGGAAGTGGTGCTACCATTTAGTTCTCCCTTGACAAGTCGATAAGACCAGTGAGTCCCGATTCATTGAAATAAAAATGTTGTTGGGCCATCAATACTTACATTTGTTTATGATATTCACTAGAAAATATAGAAAGATTGCGAAGAATTCCACCCTTCTCCTCATAATAATGTGACTTCTGACTGTTTGTTTAAACAAGAAGAAGTGAAGAGACATTTAGATATATTTTCAAATTAGTGCAGACCTGATGAATGAATCCTCACGTGTCAGCCAATCGGATGACAAATCAGGTGACATTTACCAACCTGACTACTCGGTCTGTTATTTACAATTGAGTGTGCTTATCCGTTGTGTCAATAATTTAGAAGCTGTGAACGTCCAATCGCTCACTACTGAATGGATGACAAGTGTGCAAGTGGATTACGACTTATGAAATCAATTCAACTCATTGATCCAATTACTTCATAGAACTCTGGAGACTGGTGCTGTTATTTTATTTTACCTCGTTCATCAGATTTTGTAACGCAACGATGCATTTCTCTAGTAAGCAATATCACACTACCTGTCCTTACATCTCACCCATATGTCGACGCTTTTACTGTGTAAAACAGTATGAGCTGTAATTGAGGATTCACGTCGATGCACTGTGACATTTATTTGTCATCGATGTTCACTAGATTACGGGGCCTAATGCAGCAGATGCCACTGACACAAAGTTAAATGGGTAACTATCTAAATTAGTTCTGCAGTACAGTATTCCAGATATGTTACTTTCTTGGAACGACGAAACGGCATAAGGCATAGTTGTGTATCATTTTCTAACTGTCATTTGTAACTCAGTAAACTCTTCTAATGTAGTCTACTGAGAAAACGTGGAAATTTCACCCGAAACGTAACCCCTGGTTTCAAACTCACATCCACCAGTTTCAGCTGCCAACGTACTACGAAATGTTTTCGTAAGTATCATATCACTGTTTAATTGTTTATCCAGATAGCAGTCTTTAATGCATTGTCAATATAGATCTCATCTCACATAAGCTGCCATGAAAACAGTAGTCGTATATTCCAAGTCAGAAGAAATTTCCGAAACCAGTTATTGTGTCTTATATGACTACCTTTAACTTTGTCTGCTCTCACCTTCTCAACCATTTCTAGAGTCTTGACATCAGTTTTCGACACATACATTTTCCTTTAGCTCTCATATATTGAAGATTGTGAGAATGACTGGTTCGTTTCATTTAGAAGTGTGATAAAACTTTAATCACATGAATTTCATTTTTTTATAGTTATAATAGTCCTCTTTTGATGAAACCAGATAAATTCGACAGCCCACAGCATTGCATTACTCATATTAGTTGACGTAATCGTGCAAATCATTCATCCCGCTGAGACCTCAAGTCTCTTTTTCCAAAGACTTTACAGCTGTGGACGACAGCTGCCTTGAATGTAAGCCTGTGTTACTTCAGTTTTTGTTTTCACAGTGAAATTTCCGCACAGTTTCCAAGACTGGCTTGATTCTACAAGTATACTGTGTGGTTGATACTAAATTCGTACTAGAAATTTTATTTCTTCATTCGTGTGTTTACACTACCACATGTAACTTACGAATAGTCGTTGATGACACTCTTGAAGTCAATTCTCATTCAGATTAACAGATATATACAAGGGGTTTTAATATGGACACATGGGACTTACTGTCATCTCGGATCAGCCAATCACAAAAGTTAATCGAGCATCTTGTTGGCTGGAAACATATCGGGCACCACAGAAATCGGTGAACAAGTTGAAATACGTTGTTGCCAGTCACGGTAAGAATGTCAGATGCCTATTATCTCATCTTGAAATACTTGATGACTGAAAGCGAACACGATTATGATAGTCACAGAAGAAAAGATTTAGGGCTGTCATCGAGAAGAATTGATAAAACTCTTATTTGAATCATCCCTGAAGTTGTGTATGCAGTTGTTGTTTGGAAACACCGTAAAATCTCACTCACCAACTGTTTTGAGACCATGTAGATAACATGAAACCTTAGCTTTGGAATATACCTTCTCTACTTTGATGCAACCATGAGACTACTTCTGGTTCTGTGTTACCTGATGCGATTCAGAGACATCTTACGGAAATTAACTAATAGATGTGGGTTAAGCAAGAGTATCGTTGCTTTGTTGTGTACTGCATCATGCTAACATGAATTGTCATTCAGTCTAGTCGGGCAGTCTGATGCAACTATAGGCTGCCATATAAATAAGTGTCTACCTTTTCAAATAATGCTGTAAAAGGTGGATAGGTTATGAGGAACATTGAAATCTTCAGCACCTTTAGTCCTCCGACATGTCATTTTCCTAATCTATCACGTCTATCAGGCATATTTTGATGGGCAAAATCATGCTTGAAGTAAACTTGATGGAGATGCTTCACTTCGCAACACAGTGGCTGGAAAATGCTGAAAACGGTTTCTCATGACTTATTGAGGAAAATTGTAGCATAGAGTGAATCGCATCTGCACACCAATCAGTTCTCACCTCAGTTTCTCAAAAGACTAAGTCTAATAGTCTATGTCTGTGAAATAATTCATCGAGTGATCATTGTGTGAATTGTCAGCTGATATAACGGAAACAAATAGACTTGTATGTAACACAGTCTGCTTCATGTACCGAAATAACACTGATACAATCGTAATTTTTGTGCCTTCAAGCACTAAGCATTTATAAGAGTTTAGGATCAGAAATATATCTCAAATATACTAGCTATTTATCATTAGCCCTATACTAACATGCATATTAACAGTTACTATCAAATTATCAATCAAAAGGTGATGACAGTTTTACTTTTTATTAGTCATGAGGATAATCAGTTCGAGATATTAGGGTATAAATAATAAATTGAGTCATTATGCGTAGTATAAAATTGCAATTGTGCCAATATGAAACAATTTGTTTTTGACAAACTGCTGATGAGGTAAATGAAGTGTATATGCAGCTCACACGACAACATTACATTGCTATGGTTGCAGTGCTATGTTTCTGGCACATAACTAGTAGTTACTGTTTTTCAGAAAACTTCAATAAATTGACAAGACAAAACCATCGAATATTTTTAAACGCTTACCAACTGATACTACAAGACATTAACAGTCAGATTTGATATGTGAAGTGATCACATCGTTTATTCAGACTGTATTCACTTCTGCTTAACTATTTGAGGAAAATACTCGTAAGGCTACAGAACTACACAGCATATTGTCAGTTTCTTTGATGACACTAAGAAGGTGATTCTACTAATTAATTATGGTGAAGTCCATTTTTCAAACAGCTTACAAGTCATTGAAGTCAACAGTGGAATTATACGTATTTGCATTAGTGATGGCTGAATGCCTATGCCAATGAATCAGGCCATCAAGCTGTCAGTGTGTTATGGTAATGTCTGTGGTTGTGCGAGCCACTCTTAAATTAGGACGACCAGTTAGCATCGCGATTATAAATCAAGGTTGAAAATAGGTAAGTGTAAAATATTTCGAATTATCTTTGCTCAGTTTGAAATCGCATGAATTTTAGCAGAAGTTTATTTTTGTGTAGAGATCCTTATGCTTATATTTGAGAATGCTCAGTGCGTTTCGAATGTGAGTGTTCTGTCACTGTCGATGTCATCCTACGCAAGTGTGCACATTCATACACCCATCCTCACACCAATGTTGACAAGTTACTCCACCTTAACAAGATCTAAAAAGCTTTGCGATTGCATATTTCAACTTAACTCTAAGTTGTCTTATTGACATGCATCACTGAAAGGAGTCTTTAGTGATTTTGAGAGGACTGCATCACAGTGAAGGTGGAGAGATCCTTGATCAATTCAGCCACATGATTGGTGCCGTGAACTGCTGCATAGCCATTCTGTTTATGATGTCAGGAAACACTGAACTAGCCCTGAAGAAGTGGTGGACACAAGCTTCCAATTAATCACACCAGCAAACGAAATCCTACCTCACTGGGTAGAATGTGAATTGATTCGAGTCAGTAATTAGTGAAATTCTCACGGAGAGAAATCAAGATTATGCGTGCACAAAGTCTGTTTGCAGTCATTGATTGGTGGAATCAGAGAGGGTGCATGAACCGACTGACAACTGATGAGTAGCTGATAGATTTTAAAAAGTGCTGACATTGAAATAAACTTATGCAGTGGCAGTGGATGGTCACAACGAATCGGTAGTAAACACTGTAGAGGAGCTTCATGCTTGTTGGTGTACATCTGCAAACTGAATTTGCGAGCATGAGGAAACTACTGTGTTCTATCAGTAATCGGAACCTGCATGGAACAGTTCTGAAGTCACAGACGTGACCACCATGAAGGGTGGAGGTATGCATGTTTGTTTTTGAAAGTGCGGTGTTCGAAAACATTATCCGGTTGGGAAACAGGGATTCCACCACTTGTGATGGATCTCAAACTTAGGTTGACATTCTGCCTAACTATGATATGCCTCCTACATGAGAGGTAATTAGTTTCAGGGTAGCACTCAATCCAGTAAATGGATGTTTGAGCCACAAATGAGTCGAAGTCTGTGTAAAGCTGAACGCTGAGTCTGTTCACTATGTTTGCACCAGTGACAACGACTGCATGTTCCTATATCAGAATTTGACTGTAACAGTGGTGAATGTATCGAAGCTGATGTTTTTATGTTCAAGGTGGTGGTGGTGGGAGTGATTCGATAGATAATATTGTAATGTGAACATTGATGTTTGCTTTCAATATTTCTTTTGTAGGGGATGCGATCAGGTGTCATATTTGTTCAGACTGCACAAATAGCATTGGAAGAATTGAGTCTGGTTGTGGAGCGTGTGGGGTAGGTGGAAGTTATCACCTGATTTGCCTATATTCATATTCATTTATGTACAGTGCGCCGAATTGCAAGATAAACTGATGTGTTTAATTGATTTTGTGATGTGTTTGACTCAGTGATTCGCTTTAGTTCAGTGGCAAATCTGTTTTCATTATCACTCGCAAGTAGATGGGTAATGACTGAAGCACATCAACCTTAATTCACGTCATTTCATCAGCGTTTGTTTGAGGAAGATTTCACCTCTACCTGTGTACTGTCAGAGAAGAGTAATGAGTAAAATTTGGTCTAGTCTACTTCAGAATCATCGATTATGTGGTCACACACAATTTGATTAAACCATTAGTAAACAAATGTTGACTTAATATTATTGGTTGAGGAAGCCTACAGTCACAGTGTTCATCGAAGGAGGGCACAGGCGACTCGTCTCAGCTGCTTAAACCACAAAAGATAGTGGTTCCAAACCAGGAGTGAGCCTAGGCAAGATTGCTTGATTTCCTCATTCCTCTTCAACTTTTCCATCGATGACATTCTCGAGACTGCTCTGAAGGAGGTGTATGATAGTGGTGTAGACCTACCACCCGGAGAACTCTTATTTTACCTTGAATATGCGAACGATATCACGCTGTTCACTGATTTGAGATTTTATGAAACATGGCTCAGAATCGAAACCAGTGGCTGTCACGCTGTACCTTCCTCGTACTACTTCTGATTCTGAGAAGTAATGAAAGTTTTGTTTCCAATTTACCTTAATGGAGAGCCCTTGTAATTATGCAGTTCCTGTCGTTTCCCTTTCTTACGTATTCACTTCGAGTTTATGTTCTTGGAGACAGGTCACATCAAGGATATAACCCAGAAACGTTAAGGACTGTAAGAGATATTTGACATTTTTTGTCCTTAGTAGTAGTCCGCTTTCTGAGGAATTCTGGAGGACAAGCAGTAATCAAAATTTAAAAACCATGCATCACGTCTGATCAATTGACCAACTCACAACTCGCAAAACCATAACATCGCAACAGACCAATGACATGAAAACAATATAAGAGTAAAACTTGTGCACTGTGGTAGAATGTAATTACACATTTATTCATCTATTAGATTTATCACACACTGTGTGACAAATCAAACAAATCAATAAAAGATGGACGTGAAAACAAATTTAACAACGTCAGTATACTTTGAAGAGATAGTACACACAAAAATCCTGTCATTATTATCCCCGAGGTAATGCCAAGGCAGTAGATGGCTGCTAATTCTATTACCAGTTGACCTTTAAATTCCCAGTGGAACATAGGGCTTCAGTAGCACGTCTCCATTGAGCTCTGTTCTCTACAGGCTTTTCAACCTGGCTCAACCACTCCCCACAAGATTTCATTTCTTCCTCACACCATCTCATCCATATCACCCCACCTCGGACGTCCAACTGGTCGTTTCCCTTTGGCTTCGACTCGATTATTGGGCCTGGCCTGGCCTGGCCTAGCCTGGCCTCACCTAGCACGTGATGTCCCCAATCGGTCTTCTCAGTGTATGTCCAGTCCAATCCATCTCCACTTTTTACTGCATATTTGTGGGTGATGAATTCCTGGCTGGTTCGTGGCCAGCCAGAGTTCCTTGTTGCTCATTCTTTCTGGCCATCTGATCTGGTCATCAGTATCGAGTGTGGGCAGACGGCAGAACTAGATGAGTGTCTGTACCATGTTGGAAATGTCTTTCGTAACTCGCCACGTATCTTTCAACCACTCCACTCCAATCCAGTCAATTTCACTCCACTCCACTCCACTTCAGTCCAGTGGACCACAGTCGGGAAGGCCATCACTGATAGTAGGTGGCAACGTTGTCTTACTCCTGTCTGTCTTCACACCAAAGGCGTCACTGAGTTTTCCATCGTGAATCACTTGGCATGTAGCCGCATCCATCATATAGCATAGCATAAAGCTGCTGTTGAATGAGGTTGATGACGGTGTGTGGCACTGAGACTGTGATGTTGAAGCAGCTGCCTGCCAAATTGCTTCTCGGTCGAGGCTGTGGAGAAGCATTTCAAAGTGGATGAAGTTGATGTGAGGTAGAGAGTTGACTGCCATTCTATGCTGTGTTCTATGATGATGCGTAGTGTAGCGTGGTGTTGCAATTTGACGCGCACATGATTTGTTTTGCCTGAAACCAGCCTGTCCGGGCCTCATTGTTTTAAGTCAGTGCATATTTTATCTCTGCAGGAAGACGCGGCTTTAGATTTTGCCTGCGGTGTACAGCAGCATGATTCCGCTCCAGTTCCTGCAAAGGCTTTAGCCTCCTCGTTTGGGAGTTTGACAAGATAGTTTTCCTTCCAATCAATCTGCAGGTACCTTTCTTTCTTTCGTCCTTCCTTCCTTCATTCCTTCCCAACTTCTTTCCTTCCATCCTCCCTACCTTCATTCATTCCTCCCGCCTGCCTTCCTTCCTGCCTTCCTGCCTGCCTTCCTTCTGCAATAGTAGTGTAAGGATGTGTGCTGATATCTCTGTGTCCGTTTTCAGTGCTTCTGGTGGAATTTCGTCTAGTCCTGCTACTTTCCCGAATTCCAGTAACTTTGTGGCGTTCAGGACTTGACTTCCGTCCTTGTCGGAGCATTTGCGCTCACTGGTACTTATGCGGATGCTGGTGATATATCTAGACTAGTTGCAGGTGGTGGTGATGGTGGTCGATTGAAGGGATTTTGAAGTGCTCAGTCCATCGTTTTCCTTGTTTCTCCTCTTTGGTAACTAGGTTCCCTTCACTATCTTCCATTGCTCTCATCTGTGTTGATCTCTTCCCTCTCAGATAGTAACCTGGTTATTTGATATGGTGTAGTCAGGTCTCTCTTAAATGCAGCCTGTTCTGCTTCACTTATCAGTGTATCGTGGAGTTGTGTTCTGGCTTTCCGTGCACTCCTTTTGACTTCTTCGTCCAGCGTTTTGTACGCTGTACTCAGTTCGTCTTTCGTTTTGCATCCTTGCACTGGTTCATCTTCTACTTAACCATCACCATCTTCCTCCCCCTCGTCTATCAGCTTCCAGTTATCCATTTTGTTTCTTCTTCCTTCCTGAGGTATGGAGATATGAATATATGCTGCATTTATGGCTAGTAGCTAGTCAACCAGTCAACCCGGCCAGGTTCTTCTACTCATCTACTATCTGTTAAATATTCTCGGTCATAAGCTGATGATTTCACTGAGTATTTTGAGTTTATTTAACTCAACTATAACATCTGAAAAACCCTTATGCTTTAATGTTCAAGTGGACAAAAAATTAATTCCAAGAAATAGACTCCGCAACGAGATATCAGTTAATGAATTTTTTCGTGAGTGTTGTGGCATTATATTTCAGTGGCCTGTACTAAAATATTTGCCTTCCACGAACATGTCATTCAGTTATTATATATTGTGCATTTTTGACATTTTTGTCTGCATCAGGAATGCCTCAAAACATTCCACACACTTTCCGTATGTTTTGGTTTTCGGTTTCCCGACCAAGGTGCGCTTGAAATTCATCGTTCGAAAGCATTTGTGTTTTGGTCTTTTCAATACGCGTCATTGTTAGTCAAATTAGGGGCACTGGAGTTATAGCATACACGAATTGGACGTATTCTCTCATATTGCGACTTCACTTAAACAGATAGTTCAGCTAACAGACTTAAGGCCTCACGTAAGAGTCAAAGATAGTAAGGGACTTGAAGTAGCAGTCAAAAGAGACTTTGTCTTTCATTACATAATCAACTACACATATTGATTTAGAGGGTTGTATAGTACATAGTCATCACATCAGTATTCATTTCTATGCAACGACTATTGAACCCTGTAGGCTCTAAGACGATTAGTCAAGATTTATAGGGTTATTACCTTAGTTTTGGGAAGAAAATAAAACGTTTGGCATCTCATTATTTTAAGTGGAAGGAAAACAATATCCAGCCAGATTCGAAATCTGCATAGAGAGGAAATGTGAACTCACTTATTGGCCTACTGCTTACTGTCACAGATACTGGTTCAGGTTTACGAATTGAACTCAGGCATTGGCTTACGTGAATTGTATATATAACGAAAATATTCAACTCTCCAGGTGTTCCCTTCTAAAGCCAGTTCAAATAAGGGAAGTCGGTGAGAAATTTCTCATTCCAGCACCACAACTCTCAAACTCCTCTCTGACTTGCAAATTGGTTGGCATTATATGTAGGGATTTATATTTTTAGATTGGAGACGATGCTTTGGTGTTATTCGGTTGTGAAGGATAACCACTGTTTGGTCATAAATAGGTATGACTTGAATCGTTATTGCTGCAACCTTTTGTAAACAAGTGCACAAAAACCATGTGGACTTCTCGAAGGAGTTAAATTGATGATGCATAAAGTCTGCGCCAAAAGGGATGATGAGATTTAGCATACAACTGCATCATCATTTCAACTACAAATAACGGGAAACCATGACTAGTTGCAATGTGATATGACGCAACACTTTGCAAAAGAGACTTGGTGGATACGATGACGGTGGTTGATAACGCTGTGTCATGAATATGCGATTGTTAGTTATATATTGGAACTGGTAATTGACCTTCGTAGTCCTATCGCAATAATCCGGCTGAAGGTACACAATTGAGCAGCTGCATTTGTTTCACAGACTTTCAAGCTTATTTTCATTGTCTGTAGCCAGTCCTTTGCAAATTAGCGTATGCTTAGGTAGGCTGAATTACATTTTGATGACTGCAGACGAGACTTTGTCTACCCTGTAGGTTTACTCTTGATTACATTGCAGTTGAGGCATGAATGTGAACTGCATAAAGCGTGGATACTCACGTGTCTCTTTCGAAGAGGAGGTTTGACTAGTGGAAGCATATATATTTCTATTCCATTTGCATAATGGAACAGAATCAAATTTTATTTGAATATTGTTGTTAAGCAGTCTGTAGGTTAGTCAAGTGCTATCGATGATTGACTGCACCAAACGGAGTTTCGATATCGTTTTTTCAAAGTATACTGTTTGAAGGCTTTCAAATATTCCGAGTTTCACATCATCCTTTAGTCTTGCGTTCTCATGTTTGCGTTGGAAAGCGGGGTCGGTTGGGAAACAGAAGTCATGACTCTGATATTTTCATTTATTCTTCCTATATTTAGTTGCAATTAGGAGGATTTGAAAGCATGAGTGACTAACATATTATCAAACGTAGCCTTTTCGTGATTACCCTTCAAAATATGACCACTTGTTAATTCACTTTACTGTCTAGTATTGAATGAGATATCGAGAACCGTCATCAGCTCCGTGGTGTAAAATTAGTTGGATAAAAATGCCTTATAGGTTGGAAATTGTCGCATACTAATCTTCCTGGTATCCAATGAAGAAATCTTCTGTGAAGCTGTTTGTAATTTAGGCTGCATAAATGTGCAAGCATACAGATGAAACTTGACTTCAGTTGCCAATAATCTCCTTTTGAGTGAATTAATTATACCTTGTTTTAAGCTGAGTCCTGCTCTCCTTGATGATTGTCAGCACCTCAGAGCAAACATATCGAGACTGCAAGAATATCAAACCTGCTTAGGAAAACAAAATGATTCTGATAATGCCAAAGACTCGATCATTTGTTATTCTTATTGTTATAAGAAATTGCTTACAATGACGTCCTGGAACTCAATACCTCTATTTTGTCAGGTCAGTCAGGACATTGAAGTGAAACACTGTTTTTTAACTTGTATATTTTTCTATGAATTATTGACGACTGTATGTGCAATAACAAAATGTTGGCTTCTACAATCTACACAACAACAATCGGTTAGGAAATGCCACTGTATTCATGAATCCTAGTCGTAAATTATGCAGCATCAAGAAGTTGTCAACGAATAACAAGCCCAGAAGAGAATCGTAGAATATGCCTTCAGAAGTGAAAGATTTACTGAACTTTATCAATAATTAGAATTCACGCACAATTGTCAATGCAAGCAGTAGTATCAGTGAAATGATTATTGACTGTGAGTACAAGGAGTATGATTTGTTGTATAACTATTATTTTTCACATCAAGAAACACTCTGCAGTTGATGGAAATATAAACCAGATATGAAATTATGATCTATTTCATTCCAATACTTTCCTCGGTATTCCTGACACCATGGATACCACTGAAAAACTACAACTAGTTTTCTTGTTTTGTGTGAAGGAAAACATCAGTGAGAAGACATTAGATGCATCTAAGTCAATAAGAGGTCATATGTTCTGGTCGAGTGATCGGTGATTCTATATTGGGTAGTAAATGAACAAGCAGATTTCTGAAGCCATAAACTTTCAAATTTTTGTCTACATAAAGTGTTTTATCGTTGGTAATTATTGATAATTTCTGTCCATTAGGTTTTTGAACATTGTTCTAGAATGGTACCTAATCTATGTAAAGCGTATTTTCACTACGTGGCAGAGTGAACATGAGCGTTCACTTGTTGCCTAGCATAGTGATGACAGATGTCTGTTGTGTGGAAATTCCTCTTGAATACTCAGGACGTCTGAGTTCTATTACGCTTCTTTACCTTAGCATTCGATTACATTTTATTCACAATCATTATCTGATGTTTAATGTTTACTTGGAGAAAGTGGATGTAAACTGGTAGAGATGAGAATCCCTCCAGACGTCCACCATTTGTAAATAAATCATCTTCAGACTTTACGTACATGAATATCCTGTCATGCAATGAAAGCCGATTAATAGTACTGGAAGAAGATTTCTTCGATGAAAGCGAAAGTAAATGTGGGGACATGGAATGTCCGAACCATGTTTCAACCCAGCAAGGCAGCCCAGATTGCAAAATAGACACAAGGAGGTATGGTATGGAAGTGATTGCAATCTGCGAAAGCAGATGGAATGGGAGTGGACTCTCCAAACTGTCAACTGGAGAATCAATAATCTACTCCGATATTGTCACCAAGACGACAACCACGAGCACACTGAGTTTTCGAGCGGCTATCATGTTGTTCCCAACAGCATCGGAGGCTGTTTCTCATGCAGTGGGAACCAATCTCCTCCAGCATCAAGATCATGACAGCAAGATTCAACTCAAAAGGAAGGAAGGTCACTATCATACAATGCCAATGCTACGCTACGCCTCTACAAATAGTGTAGAGCAAGAGAAGAAGGAGGAATTCTACAGACAACTGCAATCAACACTGGACAAGACACCACTCCAGTTGGCGATATCAAAATTCTAATGGTTGGGGTGGCATGAATGCCAAACTGGGAGGGGACAACACAGGAAGAGAACTAACCATGGACCGAGAAGCGCTCGGTGAGGTGATGAACGAGAATGGAGAATTGTTTGCAGAATTCTGTGCATTCAAAGATTTGGTGATTGGAGGCTAGGCAGTGTGTTCATGCACAAAGATATCCACAAAGCGACATGGATTTCACCAGACACCAGGACACACTAAAAACCAAATCAACTTCATCCCAATCTCAAGAAGATGGAGACGCAGTCTACTTGACACAAGGTCAAGAAGAGGAGCAGATGTAGGTTCACACCACTCACTATCTAGTGCAAGGAACCTTCCAAATGAAGTTGAAAGCCTTCAAGAAAGTTGGTGATAGACCTCAATTCAAGTACAACACTCGGAAACTGAAGGACGTGACTACAAAGGAGATCTTCACGTCAGGCATCAAGACAAAATGGGAGATATCGAGGAACATTCCTGAAGACACCTGTGTGGAAGAACACTGGAAGTCTTTGAAAGCTATGTGGAAAGAAACCTGCACAGTCGTATTAGGAAGGAAGAAGAAAGGAGATAAGGAATGGATCTCAATGGATACATGGAAGGTGATAGAGCAGGGAGAGGAGGATGGTGATACAGAAGATAAACCAGTGCATGGATGCTCAACGACAAGAGGAACTGAGCACAATGTATAAAACATTACACTAGACAAAGAAGTGAAGAAGAGTGCACGGAAAGACAAAAGACACTTCTACGAAACACTGGCAAGTGAAGCAGAACAGGCTGCTGGTAGGAGCAAGAGAGACCTAACAACACTGTATCAAATAACTAGGTTACTATCTGGGAAGAGATCAGCGCAGACGAAACCAATAAAAGATGAAGAAGGAAATTTAATTACGAAAGAAGAGAAACAAAAGAAACGATGGCCGACCACATCAAGAAGCTCTTGAATTGGCCACCACCTTCACTTCGTCCAAAAATACCACCTGCAGCCCGGCCAATGAACTACAAGTGAACATAAATCCTCCAACAAAAATGGAAATCCTGAACACCATAAAGCTACTGAAATGTGGGAAAGCAGCAGGACCAGACGGGATACCGCCAGAAGCACTGAGAACAGACGCAGAGACAACAGCGGACATGCTCACACCACACCACTATTGCAGAAGGTGTGGAAGGAAGAGAAGGTACCTGGCCAATGACTGGAAGAAGAGTTACCTTGTCAAACTCTCGAAGAAAGGAGACCTCAGTGCTTGCAAGAACTGGCGAGGAATCACTCTCCTGTCCACTCAGAGCAAGCAAAATATTAAGCCGCATCATCCTGGAGAGGCTAAAGGATGCGCTAGGTTCAAAACTACGACCGGAACGGGCAGGCTGGCTGGATTTAAGAAGTACAAATCATGTGCAGACCAAATTGCAACGCCACTCTACACATCATCATAGAACAGAGTATAGAATGGTAGTCAACTCTCTACCTCACCTCAACTTCGTCGACTTTGAGAAGGCCTCTGACAGCATCGATCACGAGGTAATTTGGAAACTGCTTCATTATTACGGAGTACCGCAAGCCTTTATCCGCCTCATTCAACAACTATATAAGATGCCACATGCCAAGTAATTCACAATGGGAAGCTCAGTGATGCTTTGAATCGAAAGTGAAGACAGGAATGAAACAAGGCTGTCTACTATCACCCATGATATTTCTGATTGTGGTCGACTGGATCATGCAACAAACAGTGGGGAGCGAGAAGAGGGGGATACACTGGACCGCGGAAAAGATCCTAGAAGACTTGGACTTCGCCAATGATGACTTGTTTCTAATGTCACACAAACTTGAAGATCTATAGGCGAAAACTAACAAGTTGACAGAAGAGGCAGGGCAGCAAAGACGGGACTTCAAGTGAATATAGAGAAGACATAGGTGATGAAGATACCCAACTAATAACACCACCGACAACAACAAGCTCCAATCACCATCAATGGGAGAAACTTGAAGGAAGTAACCTCCTTCACTTATCTAGGAAGCACTGTTTCAACTACAGGTGGCGGGACAGATGAGGATGTCAAAGTCAGAATAGGAAAAGCAAGACAGGTGTTCATTAGCCTGAAACCAGTGTGGAGACCTTCTGCACTCAGCATGTGGAACAAGATGCGGATTTTCAACACCAACCCAGTCAAGTCAGTGCTTCTGTGTGATGGTTGAGAGACTTGGCGCGTCACGAAAGGCATTTCCAATAAACTACAGACATTCATCAACAACTGCTTACGCTGGCTCGCTACTGAAGATCAGATGGTTGGAAAGAATCAGCAACAAGGAGCTCTGGGAACGAACCAACCAAGAAGCTATCGCTCAACAAATATGCACTGGAAGGAAGTGGAGATGGATTGAGCATACACTGAGAAGGCCGACTGGGGACATCATGCGTCAGGCCGTTGAGTGGAAGCCCGGTGGAAGCGACGAGTTAGGCGTCGGTACCGAGGGTGACATGGAGGAGATCGTGGGAAGAGGAAATGAGAGGTTGTGGGTTGTTGTGGAGCCAGGTTCAAAAGATCTCAGAGAACAGAGTTCACTGGAGACGTGCTACTAAAGCCCTATGTTCCATTAGGAACCCAAGGGACTAATAATAATGAGGAAGCTAGTTTTCATTGTATCAAATTTTGGAGCTAAAATTATTTTCTATATTTAGTAAGCAGTAAAATCAGTTTCCAACTGCTTTAATAGTCGCTTGGCTTCAAAATTTTCACTATTGCAAAAATGATTTTTTATAGAAATCGTAATCTAACATTTTCAGGAGATATGTATAAACCTTGCACATGCATTCAGGTCTACTAACTGTTGGCAAACTCAGTCTACCAGTTTGATGGCAGATGGCCCCTTGATTTTACCAGTACAACAGAAGATACACAGTTAAAATTAATGAAAAGTGTGAAGTGTGACATGTTTACGCATACATATACCAACGATCTGATCACACACTCGTGTTTGAAAGAAATCATGTGAACAATACCAACTGAATACGATCAAAATATCCAATTAAAATTTTGGATCATACAGAAGAAAAACTGTAAGTGAACTAAAAACATTATGTTTTCATACCAAAATATGTGTTAAAATTGCAACAGTAAAACATGAAAGACTTGGAGTATTACATATGAAATAGTCGAGAATATTTGTAGCTCAGGTGGATGGTATTATTTGCATTGTGTTCTCTGAGCTGGATTGTTTAATCGTAAAGCTTCATCGTTCCTCTAGACGACATAATCAGCACTATCTTCAGCGTGAAGTGAGCTGTCAATATCTCTCTGTGAGTGATTTGGTTGCTTGCCCTGATGAAGTGGTCTGTGATTGGTTGTTTTCATTGATTGTTGTGTCATCGACTGCATAGATTTTTCTGATATATTCTTTGCGTATGACAGAATGATGCCTTGATTGATTTCTGTCAGTGACTTTGTAGTTGATGATGTACGGAATAGGGATCTTCTGGTAAAGTTTCATGAGTAGCCGTTCTTCTCTAGGATAGACATCAAGTAATCTTCTTCATTTCTCTGTGTTATTGTACTGTAGTGTGTTCTCGCTCTTCTGAATACAGTCTGCACGCAACTGATCTTGTGGGTCGTTGGGTTGTCGTTGCTGTAGTTGACATATATATCGCGTTTTGTTTAGTAAAAAGAATACTTGATGTGAAGCAGCGACACAATATTTTTGTGATTTTGTTTGTTTTTAGCGTATTCTTCAGACTTATCAATACAACGAAGTGGTTTCTGCAGATAATATGAAGTCAAACTTGTATTTTCACAAACCAGAAATTTAGCATCTGAGTCAAATAGTTGATTAAATACATATGAACTTGCAATAGGGCAATAATCTTATCTACCAGCTTATTTAGGAAACTTTACAATCCCATTTATTACTACAAATATAGAAACATTATCAAGTATACTGGCATGTCAGTGTGCACATATGAAAAGAGTATGTGTATGCAACATTGCTAGCTGATCGAAGGCATTCTTGTAATTACAGGCAGCAATCATTTGACATTTCTGCAACTCAGTAAAGAAGAATTTCCGGGAAGGAACAGTCGTGGTCGCTGTACAGGTTTAATTTTTATGGTCTCACAGAAGTCACTAGAACTGAGTTGGCCGCTCAGAAAATTGAGATATGGTGGCGTATGACCATTAGTTCCATACACAGTTAGTTTTCATCTCATGAGCCTTAAACTGATTATCAGTCAGGTCATTTACCTGAAATTCTGAATCGTAAAAATAGCAACCTGTCATCTCATAGATATCAGTGTCTGTCTACAGTCATCCTCTTTTGCAGCTTTTACTTTTGAAAGTGCCTCTATCACTCGACTTTAGGTGAACCGAATAACTTTGAAATTCAGAACATTGAGACATTCAATATTTGACAATGAATTACCAAGCATCATCTGGAAATGGTATGAAATCATTTGAGTAAATAGATCGGGTCATATAAGTTAGTGGTCACTCGGATTGTTCTTTGATATCAGTCTGACTTAATGGGACAATAGCAATGCTTTTCCGTTGGAGAAGTGTCGCACATCTGTTCATACTCTTCTGATGTCAAAAAATATGGTGAACAATACTGATAAGCAATAAAACTACAAACAATATGCAAATGGAAAATGGTAGAAAACCTAGTCAGTGACTTACGGCCAGTCTAGTATTGGCTGCGAAAGCAATCAGTTTCCAGTATTTTGCCTGCATAGGCAGTTTTAGATAAAAAAGGAACTATAATTGGTAATCTCAGCAGTTGTTTAGTTGGTCTTTGAGGTCACTTCAATTTAACTTCACTTTAGTTGAATAAACGTTACTTGGTTACGTTATTCTACATGAATCACTCATGGTGCTTTCAGCTCTTCTGAATTACAGCCTCTTCTTCCTCTTCCATGATGAATGATTCCTCCATTGTATATTTACAAAGCCGAAACAATTCTAACTGAATCTAAATCCCATCTACACTTGTTTTTGTACAACCTTATTTGCGAAAGCGTGAATAAATCCTTGAGACATATGTGTTAGATCACTCATCTAGGTACTTGTTCCGTACGAATATTTGGTTGGATGATCGGAAAAGTTATTCTCTGAACCAAACGTGAAGGTTAATCTATTAAACCAAGTGTCAGACCCATACTGTTAAAAAGGATCTCCCATCCAAAACCGAAAGTTAGAGAAGAATACGAAATGTTAATTTATTTTCTTTGTCCTGACGTACTGAGCTAGTATTACACTAGTCAAAGACACTTTTACAGTGATCCGCATTGTTTCAACCATGGTCATATCGACGTAAATGAAAAACATCTCATGGTTTCCATAGGTTTGTCAGGTCATAAAAAGCAATAGTAATTTGAAAGCCAAGTCGGAAAGTTAATTGGTCATACTGATATTAGTACCAACAATCAAGTTTGATCGAGGAAGAAATTTAGAATTCGGTCTGCTCAACAATACGGATGATAGGCACGGAGGACAACATCAGTGATGAGCTAGAAAACTTACAAGAAATTCTGACTAGAATTGGATATCCACTGAGAATTTCAGTTAGGTATCTAAAGTCGAAAAGCGTCACAGGACGATTGAATAAAATTCCAAGATTTCACTTTTGAACCCAAATTCAGGGGGAATAATGTAGTAGATATCCTAAGTGAAGATTAGATGTCAATTCCTTAGAATACAACTGCAGTTTTTACAAAGTAGAGCTTTATTGCTACAAAATTTCACATCTACGAACCAGGAGTGTCTGAATTATAGCATGCATTCATATCGCTCAACTCTAGGAAACGTATTCACAGTTTTTTTGTTTCAGTGAGGTCATTATGAGTATTGACGTCATAGATATTGAAATAATCATCTAAATATTTGCTAAGAACGATAAAATATGCAGCTGTGTACAAGGATGACCTATTTCTACTATCAGTGAGTTAACTTCAGTAGTTGTCGAATGAAAATATTATACTGAATTTGATTTCAGTCAACGTGAGTTCGCTGGCACCTATGATTTGGAACCTCTCCCATAGGAGTGATTGTATGAAATTTTTGTTACGACTTGTAATTTCCCGTTATTGATTGGACCAAATTAACTGACAACTACGAGACAAATAGTTACCTATACCAATGCCCCTATATTGCCAGTATTTCATATTGATATGAATGATTGGTAATGGCTAGGCTTGGGATCCACGACGTTCGCTTAATCCTACTTGGAACTTGTCAGTTTGATGTACTTGGTTTCCAGTGGGTGATTTTGTTCCCACTAAGCCTGCAACGCAGTACTGAACACTTCAGTCACCAAAGAGTTAATCACTTGGCAACTGATTCATTACAGCCACAGCCGGATTCCACTGCTAGCCACAGTCCATCATTATTATCAAACTTAAGATACTTTGAATATCGAGGCATCGTCACACAAGCCCATATACCAATCAATTCAGTATTCTCAGTTACGGAAATTTATGCATTATAATATCAAGCCTTCCCCATATTCCTCAAACAGTGAGTGACTATCATCACTCAGTGGCCTGCTAGATAACGCTGTGGTGTTTGAAGTGATTGCTACTGCATTCAATTCTTAGTGGGAATAACGCTTATTGAGAACCAGGAACAACTAGCTGATGAGTCTCAAGTAGGACGGAAGGCATATAGCAGATTTCACTGCTTTCCACTATTCTTCATAAATACAGCATGAGATCGAAATGAAGTACTCTCTTGTGCCCACTAGAGTACGCGTGGAAAGCTGACAAATATTGGCATTCGTTATTTTTAGCTAGCAGTAACTTAGCATGAGTCACAAGCATAATTTACATTGTGGCCATCTGCATTGAAACAAACATGGGAAATCATCGCAATCTGAAGTCATTTTGGTGTGAGTATGTTTGAATGTATACTGTGTGATACTCTGTCATCGTCTCGGCGATTTGCTGATTTATTCAATCACATTTTCCACATTTTATTTTATAGCATTACAATGTAACTTTGGAAAGGTTGTATTCCTTTTGCACTGATCCCGTGACAGTGAAATCGTAACTGTGTAAACAGAAATCAGTTTTTAATTCTCTGTCCTCATTTACCTAAATTTGAAGCTTTTCAATTCCTACATCTAGCTAACTTTCTTATTTTGCATGATGTCATTGCTTACATGTTTTCAGTTGAGTTAAAAATTTCTCATTCCCTTTCTTATTTACAGTCATCTACTCACTTCAACTGAAAATTACTTATTTACGTTGTCATATATTTCCAGTTTTCTTACATATTTTAACTTATATTGTTCTCCTGGTGGAAAACTAAAAAAAATTGTAGTTGACAAGTATTCACATCCTTCATGGATAAATATGCGCACTAGTTATGCTGAAATGCAGTCGTGAAGTTTCTGAGGATGATGTCACTGAGAACCAGTTCACTTGTCGAAGTCTTTCGTCTAATGTGATACCGTAGGAAGAAGTAAATTTGAATCTATCATGACATGCGTGTCGTCTTTTCGATTACCATTCTGATGTCCATGGTCTGTCTTGTGATCATTTCACCGCATGGAATGAAGCCAGAACTACATAACAACTAAGAGCCTTTTGCCTTGATCTACTCGAATCGGCTGAATAACATTTGACTGTTAGACATATTGCTTGCGTTGAATGGCACCCATGATTGTCGTATATGCATCGGCTGGTGGACACTTAAGGAATGTAGTGCCTACGGCCTAACTGAATATGGCTGGTCTTCCACGAAATTCGGAACGCATTCCCACTGTGTCATTCAGATCCGATTAAGTCGTCATTGACTAAAGGTGCATATTAGCCTATAACAACCAGACAATGCTTATGTTACTTCCTCACGAGTACGCATAGTTATTTCTGTACATGGTTGTTGTCTTTCTAAATAGTGAATTGTGAAGTTCGGTTGTGATTTTCAATGTGTGTGAATTGCCTTTTGCAAAAATGGTAGAAAAGTGGGGAGTGTTCCCAGCCCAGAGCTGTTATTGTTTGTCCCTGTATTCCTAGTAGAACATAGGGCTTCAGTAGCACTTCTCCACTTCACTCTGTTCGCTGCAGTCTTTTTAACCTGGCTGTACAACTACCCACAAGCTTTAATTTCTTCCTCACACAATCTAATCCATATCACCCTAACTTTGGACGCCTAAATCGTCATTTCCCATTTGGATTCCACTTGAGGGCATGGTGCATGATGTCGACAATCAGTCTTCTCAGTGTGTGTCCAGTCCAAAACACCCCCACTTTCTTCTGCACATTTGTCAGGTGATATGTTCTTGGTTGGTTCGTTGTCAGGCCAGAATGTGCTCCTTGTTGCTTATTCTTTATAGACTTCGGATCTTCAGTACTTAGTGAGCGTAGGCAACAATTATTGATGTATGTCTGTAGTTTGTTGAAAATGTTTTTCGTAATGCGCCACGTGTCTCTCAACCACCACACAGAAGCATTGACTTGACTGAATTAGTGTTAAAAATGCGGATGTTGTTCACACTTTATGCTCAGTGCAGTGCAGTGCAGTGCAGCTCAGTGCAGTTCAGTAGATCTCCACACTGACTTCAGAATAGTGAGGACCTGTCTTGCTGTCTTCCTGATCCTGGCTTTGACGTCCTCGTCTGTGCCGTCACCTGTAGTTGAAAGGATGCTGTCTTGCCTGCCTAAGCAGGTAGGTGGAACTGGCTTCTTCATTTAGGTTTCACCCTCCCCCCCCCTTCACCGAACCAATGGTGATTGGTGCTTGTTGGTGCTGTTGTTGGTTGGCAATCTTCATCACCTCTGTCTTCTACACATTCACGTTCACATGAAGTCGCGTCTTCGCCGCCTCACCTCTTCTCTCAACTTGTTGGTTTTCGCCTGTAGATCTTCGAGTTTGTGCGACAAGACATTAGACATAAATCCTCGTCGGTGGCGAAATCCACATCTTCTAGGGTATTTTCATCGGTCCAGTCAGCATATGCTTCTCCTCTTGCTCCTCACAGTTGTCTCTTGCATGATCCACTCCACTCCAATCCAGTCAACTTCACTTCACTCCACTCAAATCCACTCCAGTCAACTTCACTTTACTCCACTTCAGTCCAGTGGACCACAGTCGGGAAGGCCATCGCTGATAGTAGGTGGCAACGTTGTCTTACTCCTGTCTGTCTTCACACCAAAGGCGTCACTGAGTTTTCCATCGTGAATCACTTGGCATGTAGCCGCATCCATCATATAGCATAGCATAAAGCTGCTGTTGAATGAGGTTGATGACGGTGTGTGGCACTGAGACTGTGGTGTTGAAGCAGCTGCCTGCTAAATTGCTTCTCGGTCGAGGCTGTGGAGAAGCATTTCAAAGTGGATGAAGTTGATGTGAGGTAGAGAGTTGACTGCCATTCTATGCTGTGTTCTATGATGATGCGTAGTGTAGCGTGGTGTTGCAATTTGACGCGCACATGATTTGTTTTGCCTGAAACCAGCCTGTCCGGGCCTCATTGTTTTAAGTCAGTGCATATTTTAATCTCTGCAGGAAGACGCGGCTTTAGATTTTGCTTGCGGTGTACAGCAGCATGATTCCGCTCCAGTTCCTGCAAAGGCTTTAGCCTTCCTCGTTTGGGAGTTTGACAAGTTAGCCCTCCTTCCAATCATTCTGCAGGTAGCTTCCCTTCCTTCCAGACCTTCTACAATATTGGTGTGAGCATGTCTCTCTGCGTCTGTTTTCAGTGCTTCTGCTGCTTTCTCGAATTCCAGTAACTTCATGGCGTTCAATACTTGACTTCTGTTTCAGTTATAGGGTTTGTGTTCTCTGATGGTTCTGTGGCTGCACTGCTGGTGGTATTTATGGTAGAGTTGCAGTTGGTGGTCGTTGTTGATTCAAGAGTTTTTTGAAGTGGTCAGTCCATCGTTTCCTTTGTTTCTAGTCTTTCGTATCTAAGTTTCCTTCACAATCTTTCATTACTCTCCTGTGTGTTTATCTCTTCCCCCCTCACCAGATAGTAACCTGATTATTTGATATAATGTTGTCAGGTCTCTGTCTCTGCTACTAGCAGCCTGTTCTTCCTCAGTTGCCAGTGTGTCGTAGAAGTGTCTTTTGTATTTGCGAGCACTCTTCATCACTTCTTTATACGGCGTACTGCTTTATGGGTTGTGTTCATTTCCTCTTTTCGTTGTTCGTCCTTGCACTGCACGCCACTACACTGGCTTATCTTCTGCCTCACCATCACCGTCTTCCTCCCCCTCCTCTATCAGCTCCATGTGTCCGTCGAGATCCATTCCTTGTCTTATCTCTTCTTCCTTCCTAACACGGTTATGCGATCCTCCTTCCATGTCCCTTTCAAAGAGTTTCAGTGTGCTTCCGTGCAGGTTTCCTCGGGAATATTACCTAATGTCTCATTTTTTGTTCTGATGGCTTGATAACGGGAAGATATTTTTTTGTAGTTTTGTCCTTCAGTTTCTGTTCTGGGTGTTCAACTTGAATTTGAACTGTAATCTATTATCACCAGGTTCTTTGAAGGCTCTAAATTGCCTTTGAAGGTAGGTTCCTTGCACTAGATGGTGAGTGGTCTACACCTACCTACATCTGCTCCCCTTCCTCATCTCGTGTCCAGTAGGCTGACTGAAACTCCATCTCCATTTTCTTCACATTGAGTTGAAGTCGATCTGATTTTTAGTGTGGTTTCTGGTCAAATCCATGTCGCTTTGTGAATTTCCTTTTGTTTGTACACACAGCATCGCCTCTAATCGCCAAGTCTTTGAATGCGCAGAAATCTGCAAACAGTTCTCTATTCTCATTCGTCAATTGCCCTAGTGCTCCTTGACCCATGATTGATTGTCTTCCTGAGTTGTTTGCTCCCAGTTTCGCATTCATATCACTCAAGTCATAAGAATGAATTTTGATGTCATCAACTAGTGTGGGGTCTTGTCCAGTAAAAATTTCAGTTGTCTGTAGAATTCCTCCTTCTTCTCTTCATCTTCATTATTTGTAGGCGCATGGCATAGCACTGTATAATTGTGACTTCCCCTCCTTTTGAGTTGAATCTTGCTGAAGGTGATTGGTTCCCACTGCGTGTAAGCCCTTGAAGCTGTTGGGGACATGATGATAGCCACTCGAACACTCAGTGTACTGTGCTCGTGGTTGTCGTGTCGTCAGGGTGACAATATCGGAGTAGATTATTGACTCGTCTCGAGTTGACGGTTTGGAGAGTCCACTTCATGGTATGTATAGAAGCGTGATATGCTAACCTCAGTTTTCAGAGATTTCTGTAATCAGATTGTAGTTTTACAAAAATAGGACTCACTGGTTATGTTTGAAACTGCCAATAGACATGTGACTAATGTAATTGCTCGCCTTTTTTGAAGTAGCTGTCGATATGCCAAACTTTAAAGTATCAGGTACTCTACAGAGTCCTGTGTTGTTTTTAACTCTTGTAATGACTCAATTACAAATTAGCATTTAGATGCAGACCTTAATCACTTTACTAAGCAGTTTGATTGCACAACCATCTTTCTTACTTGATAGATTTTCTTTACTTACACGTTTCAATGGAAACATTTTGATGAAGATTTGAAGTTCCAGATAGGGCATGGATTAATACAGAAGCGTGCAGTCGATGCAGTCATCTGGTACTTCGTTTCGCTTTCTTCAGTTTAGAAAGCAGGAGTCGATTGTTGGTCTTATAGTATTCCACTAAAATTACTATCAGTGTCAAATTTCAGCGAAACACATTCTGAAATTTGATGTCAAATGCCTTAAACTATGTTTTCCACTTTAGCAGATTGTTAGTATACAGCCTATTATCAATGCATATGGCGACATAGTAATGCTTTATTTTGGAAGCTGTGGAGTTGTCATTACACTTCATAGTGTAGTGAGTGAGTGCAACATTTGTGTTCCATCTAGCTACATGGAGGAATAAATCGCAATGCAAAAATGTAGGTTGACGCTCCTAGTTTCATCCATGATGAGATTGTTGGCAGATAGTTTATAAAAAACCTGTGGTGCATTAGCACAATGCATTACAAACAACCTGTTCATACACACATACCACCACCATGCATATTTGTATGAAATCTGACGAAGGATAAACAGTCTTAGAAAATATAGTGACTAGCCGTGGAATCCAACACATGTGTCTCATCCTGACTGTCAAGTCATCGTTTTTGACCATAGTAAGGTATCCACTTAAGAGCCTATTTTCTGGAAGAGGTCAATCAGTTCTCCCCAAACCGAACATTAACGGGAAGTGACCGGTTCCTATGTCAAAGATAAATTGCTCCAGTGATTACTGACACAATAAAGTGTTGAATTCCAGTCTCAGAGGGAACAACATCGGTCACTGTGATGTGGGCACG